CTGTGCAGATGTGCTTGTTACACATACACAGTACCAACAGCTCTCAAAATAGAACATCATGAGTCAGGCCTTACAGTATAACATCATAGGCCTAAAAAGCTTAGGATTTTGAGATTTAAAGAAAATAAAACAAACCAAACACCAGAAATACAGGACTGTGAGCACTTTTTTGCTAAAATTGCAGAAGTGACAGAAAAAGGCAAGGATGAATAGAAGTAGTTGCTGAAGTTTGTCTGTCTGCCATCCATTAGAACCTGAGTTGGAGAAAGCACACAAACCTGCTGCTATGTCCTCTGCCACTGGGGAGGGTACTGCTTTATCTGAAGAAAATCACAAAGGCAGATTTGCCCTAACTGTTCTGATGGCTTTCTCTGATGGATATAAGCAGCAAATGGTAAGTTTGGAATGGATTGCAGCAAAAAGCTGATGAGATGCTTCCTGAGTGCCCAATACAGACTGTAAGGAATAGCTTTGTGGACCAGATTAGGCAGTCCAGAGTTCATGAGAGTTTTAACTTTTTTTTGCTGAACCAAGAAGGAAACAATATATAAGCCTTCCTTCTCTTTGGCTAGTCACTCAGTGAGAGCAGGGGGATTGGTTTCTGTGGGTCATTAACGCAGGCTACTGCTGTTTCATGGAGATCAGTGTATCATTCAATAGGGAGAGGCTTTTCAGCTCTGAGAGATTTTATCTGCTGATGGCTACCATGATATTTATAGACATATCCATCAATGTAACAGCAGGAAGCAATTCCCTAGGGGTCAAATTGGATGGAATCCCCTCATTTAAACTCCATTATGGATGCAGCTTTCTGTATAGGATTAACCACTTAACTCACAGAATCCTGAACATCATCAGCTATTGTTCACAAGAACTGATGATCTCCAAGGCTTAGCTGCGGGATGGTTGACTTGTTTTCAGCCTCAATTATCTTTTCAAATAATAAGGCCCTTTGTTAACCTCTGACTTGCTGAGCAATGTGTAGGCAGCCTATTAAATACTTCAGTCTTCTTTCAACTTTATGATCTGGGCAGCTCTAGAGATTTAGTCCCATTATTGTCCAGATTCTGAGCAGTCTGAATCTTCAACTGTCACATCAATAGTGAGAGGAGAGAACAAACTTTAGTCACAGCAAGTTTAGGAAAATAAACAACAGGAGCTTGGAAGATGAAGGCAGAAACTGTGCATATTATGCAAAGTGTTTTGATGTTTTCAGCCTAACTCTTGGTAATGATTTACAGAGCACGCTTCCCTGCTAAGACTATTTTGAGAGTCAGTTCCTTTGGGGATTTAGCATGCACTGATTCCATCTCCTAAAATTATCCGAGTATCTTTCTAGTGTTGAATTTCTTATGGTGAACACACCTTTTGGCATGAGACAGTCTTGCAAGGGGAGCTTAGAATAGGCCTATTGTTCCGGCAGCTCACGGTGCATAGGGAACGTTAACTGCCGATTCATTTGACACAGAAAGACGGATGCCGAGTCCTGGCATCAACAAGTGTTCTTGAATACAAACAACAAATTTGAGCTGTTTAAGGTTTTGTTTCCAACTGCCAGAGCTATCATCAGTCATGTCTGTCCAGCCGCTCTCCCTTTCAAACTTACCATGACCTCCTCACCTCACTATTTCTCTTAACCTTCCCTCATGTTTACAGTGACCTCCACCCTCATGACCTGGTTGTATTCCTGGTGCCAGCCTGGCACACCAGCATGCAGCAATCATCTTCCTCTGGCTACAACCCTTCTACTGCTTCATGACAAATACACTTGATCAGAAACACGAGGGCAGACGCTATCTATCCCTGAATGGAAAAATTAAGTTCCCAATCTCTGGGATTTTCCATCCTCAAAGGTCTCATCAAAGTTTATACATGAATCTCATTCCCATTACTTTGCCCATAAGTAATTTTCATTTGATGGTGTGTACTGCCACAGTGTACTATTGCTCCTTTGCTTTACACTAGTCCACTTCTTTTCATCCAGATATCTCAGAACATTTAATAAATGCAACTTAAACTACAGAACTAATAAGCCTTCTGTCAGGTAGGAGACAATGACATGATCCCATCTGTTCCATGAGAAGAGAAGCTGATGTTCTCAGAGAAAAAAAAAAAAAAAAAAAAAGGAAGAAATCTCTAGTCAATAAACTTGACATCCAAGATAACTTGGGATGATTTTAATGCTTGAAATGTACCTATCCAGGAAACTTCTAATTTTTAGATAAATCAAGGTACTTTTGCAAGTCTATTACTAGTAGAATAGTTTGGGTTTTTTTTAAATGACTACATTATATAGTTCTTTAGTAATCTTAGAAACACTTACAGCAGTGTAAAAAGTCATTGTCAGGGCCCCCTGCCATGGCTCTAATAGATCCTAAATACCACAACCAGCTTTGCTGGAGACTGTGACCCTGCACTCCCTGCCTACTGGTCCTCCATTTAAGCCCCATCCTCAGCACCCAGACCTGCCCTGAGCTACATTGTAGGTGTGCAAGTCTGTGATTCTCGATCTGTCTCCTGGCTGGACACTGGTCCTATGTCCTGCCACTTGCTGCTCCTGACAGGACTCTTGGGGTGGGCTCTGAAACTAATGCATCACCTCACTTTGTCTGGTGCAGTTGATGAAACCTGTTAGCAGCACCTGACACTCCCCACCCTGTTCAGGTGGGTCCCCTGAGTGTCACTGTGCTCTGGTTAGGGAGGCTGCTGCCTCAGCCAGTGAGTTGTCCCCTGCCCTTTCTGCTCCTCAACACCCTTATCCCCACTGCCAGGTCATTCTCATACTGGAAATGCTGGAAAAGATCTCACACGCACTTCAGCGCAAAGCCAGCAAGCCACCTTGGTCCAAACCCTTCTCAGTGGTGGTTTAAAAGCAGCCACTGACTTTGCAGCAAAGTAGCCGACAAGCACTAACAACCAGCCATTGTGTTACCACTCCCTGGATGAGCCAGTGTTGATCCAGGGTGAGCGTAACTTACTGTGGGAGTGCCTTGCTGAATTGCCCTGCTTACATTTGCTGAAGGATGACTGCAGTGGCAGATGGGGGAGTTACATCTTAATGTTCATTTTGATAAACCAAAGATATTTAAAATAAAATTTGCCTGATCTGTGTTCAGAAGGGTATTAATTACAGTTCGTTAATTTTTCCTTAACGTTTGAAACAAGTTCTTTCCGGCTGTCTACACTGAGTAATTTTTTAGACATAAACATTTTGGATCTAACCCTAAATGAGAAATTATTTCAGATTGGGTAATACAGACTGGGTTTTCAACTTCCTCTGTGAACAGGCCTCTGGAACAAAAACATGTCTAGAAAATTTTGGCCTGCCTGTTCAGCCTGTCTGGAGCTCAGGCTGCTCTCAAAGCTGAAAAACTCCCCAAGAGACAAGGGTCCTCATGGGCTGCCCTTCCCCCAGTACTGAGAAGTAAACACATATGTCTAAAGCTACATAAACTAATTAGACACCTAATCCTATCTTTGCATCTGGTATTGCCAAGAAAGATGAGAAAGAGCAGCAAGCAAGGCAG